CTATCTATCCTATCTATCCTATCTATCCTATCTATCTATCTATCTATCTTTCTTTCTTTCTTTCTTTCTTTCTTTCTTTCTTATCTATCTATCTGTCTAGCTGTCTACCTGTCTATGTTTTGTGCAGTGTCATTCAGTGTAATGTAGTGTAGTGTAATGTAGTGTAATGTAGTGGAGTGTAGTTGTAGTTGTAGGTGGTAGTGGAGTGTAGTGTAGAGTAGTGTTGTGAAGTGTAGCGGCAGGTAGTGTAGTGTAGTGTCATGTAGTGTAGTGTAGTGGAGTCTAGTGTAGTGTAATGTAGTGTAGTGTAAGGTAGTGTAGTGTAGTGGAGTGTAGTTGTGTAGTTTTAGTTGTAGTGTTGTGGGGTGTAGTGTAGTGTAAGGTAGTGTAGTGTAGTTTAATGTTGTGTAGTGGAGTGTAGTGGAGTGTAGTTGGGTAGGTGTAGTTGTATTTGTAGTGTAGTGGAGTGTAGTGTCGTGTAATGTAGTGAAGTGTAGTGTAGAGAGTGTAGTGCAGTGTAATTTAGTGTAGTGGACTGTAGTGGACTGTAGTTGTGTAGTTGTAGTTGTAACCTGTAGTGTTGTGAAGTGTAGTGTAATGTAATGTAGTGTAATGTAGTGTAGTGCAGCAAAGTGTAGTGTCATGTAGTGTAGTCGAGTTAAGCGAAGCAACATCTGAACCGCCAAAAGTGGTCCGAAACCCTAGTGTTTTTAACATGTTAACTTCCAAATCTGCTTCACGCCACAACGGCGTGCACTTTTTCGAAGCTCGACATCTCAGCCTCCAAAAGTGGTCCGAACATGGTGTGGTTTGTACATTTTGACTTCGAAATGTGCTTCGCGCCACAACGGCGTGCACTTTTTCGAAACTCGACCTCTGAGCCTCCAAAAGTGGTTCGAACCCCTGGTGCTTTGCACATTTTGACTTCGAAATGTGCTTCGTGCCACAACGGCGTGCACTTTTTCGAAACTCGACCTCTGAGCCTCCAAAAGTGGTCCGAACCCCTAGTGTTTTTAACATTTTGACTTGGAAATGTGCTTCGCGCTACAACGGCGTGCACTTTTTCGACATCTTAAGTGCCAAAAGTGGTCCGCACTTGGTGTGTTTTCTACATTTTGACTTGGACATGTGCTTCGCGCCACAACGGTGTGCACTTTTTCGACATCGCAACTTCCAAAAGTGGTCAGACCCTGGTGTGTTTTGTACATTTTGACTTGGGGATGTGCTTCGCGCCACAACGGCGTGCACTTTTTCGACATCTGAAGCGCCAAAAGTGGTCCGATCCTCTGATGTTTTGTGCATTTTGACTTGGAAATGTGCTTCGCGCCACAACGGCGTGCAATTTTTCATGTCTCATCTCCCCATATGTCTCCGCACCCGCCGCTTTAGCGAGCCTACTTTTCGACCCTCCGGAACCACAAATCATTGGAAAAACACAGTGAATCGCGACTTTCCTACCTTTTCGCGCATCTTCATCTTCTTTCTTCTGACTCTTTCTCTTCTGATTTTTCTCTTCTCTCTGCCTCTGCCCTGCTCTGCTTTTCATCTGTCCATATTGTCGGAAGTTTAGCTTCTCAACTTCCTTCGACAATATAGTTAAAGATATGTATCTATATATATATACACATAATAATTCCATGATATATATCTATATATATATATACTAAATAATCTCAATATACATATAGATTCGTATATATATATATATATATATATATGCATACTCTACCCAGCAATTGTGGGATATTGCGCTTTGGCTAGTGGTTGCCGAAGCATAATCGCTGCCCCTTGCTCAGCATATCTAGATCATTTGGGGGATTTTCCGCAAGGGTTCCTCCAAGATATTCTCTTCAACCAAAAGACTTCGCTAATGACATTTCAATATGTTTCATATATATGTATATTCGTATATATATAGTTATAATGTATAATAACTAGAACACCTATAATGACTAGAATTACTATAATAACTAGAACATAATTATCACAACTATATTGAACCCCCCCCTTCGATTCCCCCAAGGTCCGCCTCTAAAGCCCCGTTTGCAAGAAGTCACCCCGCGGGCCCACTTTTTGCACCAAGATTCCAGCACCAGGATAGCCCTAAGTCAGTTGCTTTGGGTACATGCTGGGGTCAAAACACCACGTTTGTGAATCCCACACTGTTCTACACATGTACACACCAGAATCAACCCTATCCGCGTTGCAACAATGTGCTGCCCCCAGTTACACGTTGCCTCGCAAACCCCATAACCTGATATTTATACATATATCTAACTATATGTATGTATTTATATATATATATGTCTGTGTGTCTGTGTGTGTGTCGTGTCCCCCCTCCCTGAAACCTACCTTTTTGGTACCCGCCCTCGAGTCCAAGCCCAGAAGACTTTTTTCGACATCCGCCCCAACTCCACCCACGTCCGTCCGCAGCGGATATGCCTCGTTCCCTTGCTCTCTTCTCCTGTTCCAACCCACGCCTACCTTTCGATCTTTCACCCTTCCCTCTCAAGTTACGACATATGGAGGTTTCCATCAATATGGGTACCCCCAAATGGATGGTTTATAATGGAAAATCCCAATCTAAAGTGGATGATTTAGGGGTACCTCCATTTTAGGAAACCTCCATATGTTGTTTTGAAATGGATGATAGTATAGTCTATTACGTATATATTGTAAAAACCTATTAAATCAATATATACGGTTCGAGTATTCTATTATATGTTATAGTTAAGGATAGGGATCAATACATGATAGTGATAGTGATCATTACGAATGTACAGTGATAATATACACAATCAACTATAATCATCTCCCCCAAACACTTAATGGTCTCCCCCTTTCTTCCTAATAATAAACACCTGCAGGATTTTTTAGTATTAGGGCATTATTAGGGTGTATTAAAAATTGGGGTGCGAAGCTTCCCCCCAATATTAAATTGAACACCTTAACTTTTTTCTATTTCAAAATTTATCAAATTCCTCAGTTCTTTGAAGAACCAATTAATCGTTTGCAAAAATTGGATGTCATTGCTTTCCTATATATATATGGATCCTTTTGGGATACAATGGAATATAATTGAAGTATTATATATATAATATGGCAGTAAAACACGATTTATTAGGATGAATTATAATGACATGAAGTGAGACGTCACTGCAATATGCGGGTTCTCTTTCGCTTCTAGCATTGCCATTCTTATCAAGACCCAATCAGTACCATGACCAGGCGTACCATGTTTCACGTTTGGTGGTCCTGACTAATTCTAGATACTATTAGTATCTCTTTCTAATTTTGCTACTAGTGGTAGCTGAGTACTTGTGCTAGTTCCAGGGACATAGTCCTTATATGTAAAACTTGAAAGATACTTTGGAAACCTGCCTGCGAGCACCCAAGAGGTCATTGGAAATACATGTCTTGGCAGTGAAGGTAGTTGCCATAATCTTGATGGCGCATCGAAGTGTCGATCTGGGACTGCATGAAAGAGTCAGGGGGATGTTAGCGCGAGTGACTGTTGTCCTGTGGCTCCCTATATTGCGAAAGGATGGAAACGAATAAGAATGGAGAGTTCTTGCTGCAGCTTGGATGTCCTCGACAGTTTCTTTATCAGTATTGGACTTAGGATTACTAGTGGAAGTGATACTTTCTACTGGAAATTAAGATGAACAACATATTTGAACTTTAGGCTAATGAACCACTAGCCTACCTTCTTTGGAGATCTTAGGAGTAGCAAGGGAGAATTAGTGCTTGGTAAATTTTGTGGACAAATACAGCAATATCCAGCAGTACAAGTAACCAGCGTTGCTTAAATTACCTTAAATTCTTGGTTAAACGGCAGTCAACCACATTCAAGCCGCGGTTACTCTCTGGTGATCAAACATGGTTTGCTGGAAAATGCACCGTTTACTTCGTTGATCTTCCCAGCTAGAGGCATTCTTGACTTGTTTGGGACTTTCCGGCTTGCCAGGTTTGATGACACCACAGACAGGGTGATCATGAACATTATATGTATATATATATATATATCGCATTGGGCAAAATAACCCATAAAGTCCCATAAAATCCCGGCTATGGGTCAAAACCCTTATATCTTCTTAAAAAAAACCTTTTGTTCACTCCCACTGGGATTCATGTCCTCCATCCCATTAGATCAAAAAAAACAGCCCGTTCTCCCGAAGCCTGGAATCATGAGAACTGGATTCGGGACATCATCCCCATAGCTGGCCGCAAGATTCAGGTTAGTGAATTATTATTATTTACCCAGAATATATGCCATAGAATCTCATACGAGCAGCTGGGAGTTGGAATAACAATCAAAGAAGGACATGAAACAATTCTCATAAAGTCTCTAAAATCTCAAATCTCCAATAAGATTCCCTAAAACTCATATAAAAATCCACCAAATCCCAGAGAATTACAACAATTTTCCCATAACACGTACATAATTGTCCCATGTCACCCCCTGTTTTTCCTTTTTTTTGCTGGTGATTTTCATCCCAAGAAAGGCCAAGCTTCGCGCCAAACAGAGCCGCGGAAACCAGCTGCCGCTGCAGGGACCCCTGCTGCGGAGGCCCGGAGAAACGGTCATGGCGATTTCACCAAAAATATGGGAATTCTTCGGGCTTAATGTGGGAACGGTTTTTGGTGAATAATGTGGGAGTGAATAATGTGGGAGTAAATATGAAAAATATGTTCATATATTTTCATTGTTCACTTACATTGTTTTTCGTGCATCATTTCCCACATTATATGAATGTAGGTGAATAATGTGGGAAACCCAATGCAATAAACCTCCGATTTGGGGATGGCTTTTGCCACCCATAAAACGTGTGATGACTTGGGGATGATTTATTAGTTGAGCTTTCCAAAGTCATGGGTGTACCCCAAATCATCCAGTCGTCATGGATGACCATGAAGACTCGTCTTGAAACCCATGGGGACTTTGGAATCCCCCATTTTCGGAAACCCAGATATATATATATATATATATACGTAATTGTATGCATATATAGTATATATATATATGTACATACCAACATAATGTTCGATGTGTTGTGATTCTATTTGAGGGGTAAATGACATCCATTTACCAAGGTTGTTGGCATATGTGAGGGATTGCTGTTTCGCGCAATCATGGCCTCCCTTTGCCAGACATAAACCAGTTGTAAACATATTTAAAACTTTCTTCAAACGTCTTAAAACACCTTAGAACTATGGTTGGTTTGTATGTAGATGTAGTTGTAATAATATGCTCCAGTTCTTTGATTTTTTCTGGGTCAACTCCTATTTGCTGAACTCTGGCGCTTCCTCCGGCCTGGACCATGCAGGATACGCAAAGCGGAGCTGGTGATTATGAAGGAATCCATGCAGGCGCATTTGTTCATGGTTAATACATTTTTCCCTATGTCACGCGTGTTAAGCATTATTGTTATGATTATGAGAACAACTATGATTCATTCTAAATGGTTCTGATTGTTACATTGGTTGAAAATAAATGTGTTTGGAGGGAACGCATTTAAAATTTAAGACGATCACGTTTTTTTTGGAAAGGGCAGTGGGAATTCAGATCGTTGACCACGTGGAACACTGGACATTGAAATTCAGAATGAAGGCAAGGGGAAAGTGTCGCCATCAAGTAAACTTGGATTTGGAATGAATTTGGAATGACTTCATAACGGCCTCTGTACATCCTGATTTGTAAGTGGAATGATCTCAATCTGATTTTATTTTTGATTTGGGAATTATCATAATTCAGCCAGAGATATGGAAACCTTATGGATTCCCTAGAAAATCATGATTCGGTATGATGTCTTATTAACCCAGTGCCAAAAACAATCATAAACCTTATACCACCCATCCATGGTCAGAGGATGGTCCTTGAATTTCACTGCTTTGCTTGGCCCAAGATCGAAGAACATTTGATACCTCCGAGCGGATGATATCTGGCGGACATGCCGTATCTTCCGACCATTTTTTTAAGCACGGGTCGGCCATGATGCTGGAGGTAAACTGTAAATAGTTGATGTATAATTTTGATTTTAGGTTCGTATAGATTTAAACCGATTCATAGTTAGTAACTGGTGTGTGAATGTTTTATGTTGAAATGCTTGCTACAAGATCCGGTTTGGAGGAGATTGTGTGGGATGTGTTCAAATTGTTTGTTTCAACAAGTCTAGATGTCTTTTGTGTTCAACGCACGCTGGCGAAGTCACGATCTGGTGAATGAAATCTGCATATCACCATACATGTTCAGGAATACTCGCCCTTCCCCATTTAGGTTGCTTTATTCACCTTAAAACATCATTTCAAACCATATGTGTATATATAATACTTTTGAATACGTACTGGTATGTAATGAAATTAGTAATGCATATTAGTTCCATGTATAGATGGGGAATTGTCTATCGCCATATTTGCTTCCCAGCTAGGCTAGAAACCTCCATTCTTGGGGATAGGGCTATCAACATCCATCCTCCAGTCGTCACCATAGAAATACAGGTGGTATAAACTTACCATTCCCAGTCATGGATGCTTTATATGAAGCTTTACCCACACATTGACCAAATTGAAAATGGTCACTTATAGTTGATTTACCAATGTAAAATGGTGATTTTCCATATTTGTTTTAATAAATGGTGATTACCCATTTAAAATGGTGATTATCCGTTTAAACTGGTGATTTACCCATTTAAAATTGTGATTTACCCATTTAAACTGGTGATTTACCCATTTAAAACGGGTGATTTACCCATTTAAAATGGTGATTTACCAATTTCAAATGGTGATTTACCCATTTAAAATGGTGATTTACCAATTTCAAATGGTGATTTACCCATTTAAAATTGTGATTTACCCATTTAAAATTGTGATTATCAATTAAAAATGGTGATTTACCCATTTAAAATCGTGATTTACCCATTTAAAATGGTGATTATCCATTTAAAATGGTGATTTGCCCATTTAAAATGGTGATTTACACATTTAAAATGGTGATTATCCATTGAAAATTGTGATTTATCCATTTAAACTGGTGATTATTCATTTAAACTGGTGATTTACCCATTTAAAATGGTGATTTTCCCATTTAAAATTGTGATTTTCCATTTAAAATGGTGATTTACCCATTTAAAATTGTGATTTACCCATTTAAAATGGTGATTTACCCATTTAAAATGATGATTTTCCATAGTTCTGTTAGTTTACCAAAGGGTAGATATAATATATCCATGCTTACTATGGTGTATAAACCAACTTTGATTATGTTCAATAAAACTTCTAAACTCGGCTTAGTTTTGGCCATCGACTCACCACAGTTCCCATGACGCCATGGTCTCTTGGCCGCCTTTGCTTCGCCCTCGCCGCCGTGTTTCCGGCTGAGGCGGCATGACAACATTTGGTGATTGGTCACCACAATAATGATAAATATAGACTTAGACATATGATATGTTTTAAATATAGAGTATTATATGTTTATGCCAAATGTTTATCATTTGATAATTATAATAATCATTTGGTGATAGACATATGATATGTTGTTTTATACTGAGTCACTGAGATTACTTAGTTGATAATATCGTTATAGTTAGTATCTTTAGTTAGTATGATACTAGTATAACTTAGTTAGTATAATGTTACTATATTGTCACTAAGTACAGTAATCATAACATTGCTGTTACATATTTGGTTAATATGACCTTTAACTAAATCTGATATGTCATACAGCTGTTGTTACTCTATAGTCTCTATATGTAACATTATTCTAGATAATATAATTTGTGTTCTAGTTATAGAATTTGTTAATATGCCATTTGTGAGACTACAGTTCTAGAATTGTCTATAGGGTCTCTATATATATACGTATATTTATGATATAGATATATATATATATGTATAGAGTAGTCCCCAAAAAAGATGCCACTCTTCAATCTATCACTATTTTTGGCTTGGACTTTACTTTTTCAATATGTTTTGATGGTTCCACCACTGTATATATATATATAGCAATGTACTTATACGACATGGTTGTTATTAGTTGATTTATTATTGTTGATTGGTTACTTAGTAACAGATTGGTAAATGTATTCAGTCAACCAATGTTATTTTGGGATACTTGGAATTTACATGCACATATATATATAAAGCGATAACATAGTGGAGATGATAGGTAGTTAATAACTATCAATTTAATAGGTGCTGAACTACTTAACTATCAGGTCCGTAGGTTCTTTTTCCTAATGAACGCCATGATTTTTTGATGTGATTTTTGGGGATTTGACCAGCCATGAAATCCACCCTGGAGTTTTCATCATTTTCCGTGTGAAATTTGGACGTAAAAATGTGGGTGTATAGCCGCCTGCATTTTTTTTTCAGATACGCCCATATTTATGCCCTGAAAAAATGAATCGATATCCAGTATTGAACAAGTTTCTTCTTGTTTGTATTTACTATCATATGTTGAAAGCATCACAGCACCGAAGAAGAATCATTTTTTTCGGGTTCTCAAGGTTAACTCCTCCGCAAAGTAGATGCAAAGTAGTTTGGGGGCAATCTGTGGGTGCTTTGTTTATGTTGAGTCCACATTTACAGCAAGTTTCAGCGGCACAAGTATCACAAGCTGGTAACATCTTCATTTTCTATGACACCATATTCCCGCATGTGCCACGGTCAAAAGTTTGATTGTAATAACAACTGTTTGGAACATGTTTAATTTCTCCATATATTGGGAATAATCATCCCAACTGATTTTTTTCAGAGGGGTTGAAACCACCAACCAGATAACTGTATCTCCATATTGGGGATTGTCATCCATTTAGATTGATGCGTTCCCACTACGAGACGGATGACCATAACCCCATTAAATTACCATGTAGTCTGACCATGGCACATGTAATATATACCCGAAAAGTCAAAAGTCTCAACGGGTATAAGTCACTAGCTAAAGACCTAAGTACACAACAAAAGACCTGACCAAGGACCAAGGATATAATAGCCTTGACACAGTATATTTTTGAATTCTTGTGCCATCAAGAGTATCCAGATTGAAACCCAAATTGTTGCCTTTTATTGGGGGGCAGGATCCAACAAAAATGCTGCTGTAGCAGAAAGCTGAAATAAATTGAAATTTCTGGTACCCCTGTCCACGCTCTAGATACCGTTCCACACCGTAGATAGGTCGTTCCACGCCCTGGATAGGTCGTTCGATGGCTTGTCCACAGTTTGTGCACGGTCAGGTCTGAAACTGTGCATAAATTGTGCATCAAAATATATTGTTAATGTTGCGTCCTGGTCCATCTCTCCTCCCTCCCCTCCCTCAACAATAGCTATACCCTCTTTAAGCTTGGGCGCCAAAAAAAATTCTTCCCAGGAAAAAAAACATATCCCCACTTAAGTAAGGATTTCAATTAGCTACAATCGAAATCTAATTTAAACTTTTTTTTTGCCGATGAACTGTAGTACCTGTAGTACTTGTAGTACCTTGTAGTACTTGTAGTACCTTGTAGTGAATGGGATTCAACATGTTGACTGCGTTGCTTTTTTCACTTTAAGTTGTTGATTCAAAGTGTCATAAGAGAAAGAGAAATGAAAAGAGAAAGGGAGAGAGAGAAAGAGAAAGAACAAGAGAAAGAGAAAGAGAAAGAGAAAAAGAAAAAAAAAGAGAAAGAGAAAGAGACAGAGACAGAGACAGAGAAAGAGAAAGAGAAAGAGAAAGAGAAATAGAAAGAGAGAGAGAGAGAGGAAGAAGAAAAGGAAGAGGAAAAGGAAGAGGAAAAGGAAGAAGAGGAAGAAGAAGAGAAACAGGAAGAGGACGAGGAAGAGGAAGGGGAAGAGGCAGAGGAAGATGAACTCAGGATCAGCTTTGGAAAAGTTTGTTGCAATTGTGAACCCTGAGAGCAAACCTACTATAGAAAGTGAATTGGACCCTCTCATGGCCCAGTGCCTTGGAAATGTGTGGAAAAACTGTTCTTTAATAAGGGTTTAATAAGCAGTCTGACTCTTTTGGGAAAGATTTGGACTTTGAATTTGGCAATTGCTTGTGGAAAAGGCCTACCTTTCTTCTCTTGGCTCCAGGATCAGCTCTGGAACAGTTTGTTGCAATTGTGAACCCTGAGAACAAACCTACTAAAGTGAATTGGACCCTCTCATGGCCCAGTGCCTTGGAAATTTGTGGAAAAACTGTTCTTTAATAAGGGTTTAATAAGCAGTCTGACTCTTTTGGGAAAGATTTGGACTTTGAATTTGGCAATTGCTTGTGGAAAAGGCCTACCTTTCTTCTCTTGGCTCCAGGATCAGCTCTGGAACAGTTTGTTGCAATTGTGAACCCTGAGAACAAACCTACTAAAGTGAATTGGACCCTCTCATGGCCCAGTGCCTTGGAAATGTGTGGAAAAACTGTTCTTTAATAAGGGTTTAATAAGCAGTCTGACTCTTTTGGGAAAGATTTGGACTTTGAATTTGGCAATTGCTTGTGGAAAAGGCCTACCTTTCTTCTCTTGGCTCCAGGATCAGCTCTGGAACAGTTTGTTGCAATTGTGAACCCTGAGAACAAACCTACTAAAGTGAATTGGACCCTCTCATGGCCCAGTGCCTTGGAAATGTGTGGAAAAACTGTTCTTTAATAAGGGTTTAATAAGCAGTCTGACTCTTTTGGGACAGGGAGAAAAGATTTTTTTCAGAAAAAATGTTCAGATGTTTTTACACAAACATTTTTTTGACAAAAAAAATGCCCCCCAAGATTTCTTGCCACAATAGTGAACCTTCCAAACAATGCATGGGTTCAGAATAATTTGCAAAAAAATTGCACAATAGCGAACCTATCCACTAATCAGCATCCAACATTATTCTCAATTGTTTCTCTGCAACAATTAGTGAAAATAGTTAAATAGTGGATAACATTATATGTCTCTTGGCAGTGCACACCTTGAACCCCTGATACAATACGCTCCCCTAAATAGGTCCGATGATATTATAGTTTAGGTCTTTTTTCCAAAGACCTTTACAAAATAGGTCTTCGACGGTCAGGGTATATGTATATATATATATACATATTACATAGAAAAACCACAACTTTGGTTCATCTCCAAACTATTCATCTCGTCACATGCTCCACTTGGGAGTGCAGTTGAAGTTCAAAATTGGGGTCGCATCTCCCAACTTATGGGGGTTATAACCAAATATCATGCGGGACCCCCTGGCTAAGTTTATAACTCCAGTATGGTTTATGATACTGATAGGATTATAGATAATTATTGGGTTTCATTGGCGGCAACATTTACATCCCGGGGGCTCACCCCACCAGTTCTCTGTCGCAGGCGCGGCATTTCCAGTGGCCTCCAGAACAGATTGGCGAGCGCAGCTCGGAACGCGTCAGGGCTGGGAAGCGCGCGGCAAAGTTCATTGCGTGTCCTTCGGCGGAAAGCTTGGGCGACCCGTGGATGTGGGAAGTGACGCAGAAGGGATGTGATTGTGATGTGGGATAATTACACTGGAACTTGGATTACAAAGTTCTAATGAGTTGTACAATTAGATAGATACTGTAGATGATGCAACATAAGTGTCCTGACATTTTAGGGGAAAGTTGTGATAACATTGTTGGAACGTGACTCGAAAATGGTGGACATCGAATAAAAAATGGCCATATTGGGGGGACGGAGGGATGCTGCCACCTTGGGTGGCTGGGATATCCCCTATATCAATGGAGATTTGAATGGGAAAATCCATCTTTACAGATGTTGGAAATTCTAGCAAACCACATTTGATTCATCTTACACTCATCTTACCAGAGGGTAGGGAAACGTGGGACCATGCGTTTCAATGCCAAGTCATGGTCTAATGAGTCATCCATGACGACTGGATGATGACTGGGGGTACCCCCATGACTTAGGAAACCTCCATGCATGTATGGTTGCAGTATATTATATTGTATGTATATGTTTTTTCATGCAGGCACCATCAATCTACTGCATTATATGCTATGATGTAAGTGACCCATATGATAAATCAAGTAATAGTACTGGCTTGGGACACATTTGCAATAGATGTGCTTTCCGTAATTTCCCAAGTACACACAAAAATATCCCACTGACAACTTACATAATATCATCCCCATATGCTCCATGGTGCTGGAATATGAATCCCACCATTTACCCCATTTTTATGGCCCAGTCATGTAGGTAAATATACCAGCACCATGGGTTGCATATGGGGATGATATAATTGGTATCCCAGTGGTATCCCAGCTCACTTCCAGTGGTGATCCAACCTGGTCCATCCACCTGGAGTTCGATGGATTTCCCAGGTACTGTGTGCGAGCAGGTGGTGCAATCCAACTTCCCCAAACCTCACGCGCTGGACAGCATCAGGCGCTACCTGTGGGGCTGTTTAGCCCTGGGGAAAAGCCCAAGAAAATGATCTAGAAATAGTGGGAGAAGCCACATCTATATGTTAGTTTACCAGAGATTACCAGAGGGCCGAGTTTTAACACTGTGCTATATACATATATACGGATACATATACGTATACAGTATATGTGTTTTTGTTGGTTTAGATTTAGATCATTCTAGAAAGTTGAATCTTGACGATGTTCACGCAGGATTTCCAGGCTGTCTTTTCTCCAACAACCGCGAATACCTCGGATGGGTAGTGCTCAGTGTTCGTGTTTTTCCAATGGATACAAGAAAACTATGGAACATCACCATTTTTCATGGGTAAATCCACTATAAATGGCCATTTTCAATAGCTATGTTTGTTTACCAGGCCGGGTAAATTCATGTGTAAATCAACTATTTCGACTGGGCCATGTTCAATAGCGAAGTGTTAAATTACCGGAGAGTACATACGACGTACATGTCGATTCATCGATCCCAGAGGAGGTATCATTTTCTGTTGGAACGTCGGTGGAAATATTTGGCCTGTTTGGTCGGTGGGTTTCATATCCATATATTAACCATATATTAGTTTACCAGAGGGTATAGGCGAACACACATATTAGTGCGGGTATATACATGTATATACTATATTACATTACCAGAGGGTAACCGGTAACCGTTTCGGAGATTTTGTAAGTTGTCCATATGATTGTACTGGTTTCGTGATATGATTCTGATTCTAATGATCTATCAATATAATATATATCAATCATTATCATTTAGCAATGATAATGATTGATATGAACTCATTTACTTCATGAACTCATCAAGCACATTGCACATGTGAAATAATATCGGGGATGTCTAAACCTTGGCAGGAAAACCTTCTCCTCCGAGGACGGTGAAGTTGGTGAAGTGTTGACCCTGCGCAATGTGGTGCCCATGGAACGTAGATCATTGTGCTGCTTTGATACAGAGTTTTCATCTGGTTGGTGGTTTGGAACATTAATTTTATGACTTTCCATATATTGGGAATTTCATCATCCCAACTGACTTTCATATTTTTCAGATGGGTAGGTATACCACCAACCAGTCATGTGTTGAAGGCTTTAGTACGGCCATTTTTCTTGGGGTTTAGCCAAGTGGATGAGTCCATGAGCTGGGGAATCGGGACATGGAAAGAATGTGCAAATTGGCCACTCTAAACGTGCATTGGAACCACAGTTAAAGTCCTCTACCAGTTAATAACTCAGCTATAACCCCAGACAAGCCCATTTATAGCCATTGATAACTGATAAAGGGTTTTAACTGCAGTTCTTACGACCATTCTTGTTGCTGGAATCCCAATTGTTGGTTGGTTCGATCGACGTGTTTTTCCCGGTAGAATCAGCAAGACCTCCATGGTCTGATTGTTGCCTATTTGGAAGTGCATCTCATCCCGGCATATCCCGGCCATGAACTCATGATAACCTACATGTAATTGTTTATATCCCCTCTGCTTATATCCTATATCATATCTCATATCTCATATGATCTCATTATATAATATGTATTAATTTGATCTTATTTGTAAATATTATATATATATATATGTATTATAGACATATATATATATACATATATATATACATATCGTATACATATATATATATATACACGCATATATATATACATATACATACATACATATATATACATATGTGTGTTTGTGCGTGTTAGAATCCTACCCCAACTCATTCTCCTGCCACAGAGAAACACTGGGATGCAAGGAGCTTCATGAGCGGCACGATGCCAAAGGCAGTTGCGCATCTGGGACTCTGTTGGTGTCCGTTCTGTCGCTTCGGGGTTCGGGCGTTAATAAAACGTGAATGAAAGGGGTATAACTGTTTTAACTGTATAAAAAATGAAACACAGGAATATATAATATCATAAAGAAATAAGTGGTTGCTGCATATCACAATGGTTCATAACAAAGGTTTACCAGCATGAGTTAAAATAATTGTAAAATATGAAAACATATGGAGACATTCCCACTACTGTGAGTGAAAGCACACCTCGAAGGATTGTCATTCACTGGATTGCGGCTTTTCAATGTTGAGCCATACTTCGGAGTGAGCTATGGAACATTATGGACAGCTTTTCACAGATATGATTTGGTCAGGAAGTTGTGTTTTGTTTCTTTTCAGGAGGCAAGCCGACAATCTACTGCTCTACTGCTCTTTTCGCTGTATCTTGTAGAACAGCATTTCCATTTTGGATGCCAAGGTTTCTAAATGATCACTTCCTTTGTGGCACAAAAAAACAGCTTCAAATAAACAAGAACATCCACAGAATTCTCATTACCATGTGTCCTCCCACTGAACCTAAGTGTCATGGAAGGCTATGCCCCCCGAATTCCTAACTTTAACCCTAGGGATTCATTAAATTGGTACCTATTCGGGCCCCAGCTTTAGAACTCCATAGAAAACCTGCAGAATTGAGAAAACAAACATACTTTCTGATTCACCAATGAACATTTATAAAGCCCTGGTGAGTGAGATTATGATTATTCCCAAGTGGACTCCAACGTTGAATCAATATTTGTCTATAAAGTGACCCGAGGGGTGTTCATGGGACATATTATCTTATACCACATGTTTACTGGTGAATGTTAAATCCATTTCAATCCAGCATTTAAGGATTTACATTTATTTACCACCAAATCAATATTCAAAGGGATAGATAATGTTTAACCATCAATGCTAAGCCGTTAAATCTATAGGTTTATCTTAAATCCAGTCCCTATGGATTGAAGCACTTTCTCAGGCAGCAATCAGGGCATGATTTAGGGGGCTAAGTACCTTCTTAAAAAGTATCTAGCTCTATAGAATCTACATCCATTATTTATATAACCCATTACATCCATGGGCATTGCTACAATGTGCCCCCCCGCCAGTTATAAGTTGGCTTATAAACTCCGAATAGCTAAAGTTATGCGTTTATAAGTATAATCAATCAAGTTATTGGAATTATAAACCAACTTAACTATCATACATCAGCCATACATCAGCTATGAATCCCTTTGAATTACATGTTTTGGTGGTTAAATCACCATGTTTCTATGGTTTTCCTATGGTTTTTTCCCATGGTTTTTGTATAGAAAAATCAACCATTCATAGCATCGGGGTCTCGAGGGACTCCTCCAAGGCGATGAAGCGGCTCGCGCAGCTCTTCAAGCGCCAGAAGCTGGAGGCGGAACCTGGGAAATGTTCACGTGTTTTTTGCTTTTCAAGTTGTTGTTCAGGGATGTTTTGGGATTTTTCACGTTTTTTTTTGGGGGGGGGCAAATTTTCAGGATTGTTTAGTTTTGCGTTTTTTTTTTCAGTGACTTTATGTACTCCTTGTTTAATTTGGTGAAATTATATACTAAGTAGCTGACTTGAATGATACTTCAGTTAAGGTAAATATATGTAAATATACTGAAGTTAACTTAACATTAACATTCACCGACTGGTCAACCGACTGGTTAGAGACTTTCGTGCTGAAACAAAGTTTGGAATGGTAATGGTAACATGTATTAACCAGCTAAAACATATTTTATTTTTTGGATAGGTATCTAAAATTAACCATGTACAATAACTTGGTGACAAGTAGCTGATATATACTTCAGTTGGTAAACACAACTAGGCTAACATTTGCCAACAATTGGACTTAAGCATATGTATATATATATATTATTATATTTAGAAGGGGTGTATAAACCGAACCAGACATGAGAGGCCCGGGTTTTTAGCAGCCAAAGTCCGAAACCACAAGGAGCAAGATTACCCATGACAACGATTACCTCCAGACACAGATGAACGCTTCATCTCTGTATTCTTCATGGTGGTAAAACATGCATTGCTGGGTTTTGATTCATTTTGTGAATGCACCCGACCATTTTTGTTTGGAAAATGCATTCGTATTATCTGGACTACAATGGTGTTTGAGGGCAAACTTCAAACTGATTTCCTTGCACCGCTTATGTTTACTGAAGTGCATGTCTTGAATGGTGATTTAATCGCCTCATTTTTTGCTTAACTCCCCGTTTTCCTTGTGGTTTCATGACATGTTTGGCACTGTTCTAGCAAAAAAATGAGTTCTCCAGTTCTCCATCTTTTTTTTTCAATTTTCGAGCGTCATTTCCCTATGTTTTCCCATGGTTTCTAGCTAAACTTCCCCCCCATTTTTGCTGGAAGATCTTCCGTAGGTGACCGGCTTACCTGATGGTACTGCAGAGATCAGGCCATGGGACTTTTTTCGATATTGAGCAGTGTGAAATTTGCATCCCCTATTGGATGGTTTACCTGTGGTAGGTTGGACCAGGTAAAAATTGCTTGGTTTACAATTGAGCGGGATATAGAACGACCAATAAGCCAACTTAGTAACTTTAAATGGAGGTTGGTTGGTGGTTGGTAGGTTAGTTGGTTGTATCATTCCATGAAAAATCCTGGTTGGTTAATCCCTCCCATTGGATGATAAAAATCACTCCATTGTGAAATAAATTGGATCCAATCCCTCCTATGGAAAGAAATTGAAATACATCACCTCCATGGAATGATTTAGGGATTGCCCTATTGGATGATTTGAATCCCCAATAGATTGATATAAATTGGGTAGTATAATCCCCTGAAAAATGGGTTTTGAACACTGCTCAATTCTAAAAAACTGGTTGGTGGTTTGGACGAATATTTTTCAGAGGGGTAGGTTACCACTATAAACAGATGAGCTAATTATGAAAGTTCAGATTGGTAACTAGTGATTAGTTAAGATTACTATTCTTAGTTAAGCAATTAGTAACTAGTGATTGTTACTGGTTGGTGGTTTGGAACCTGAATTTTATGACTTTCCATTCAGTTGGTAATTTCATCATCGCAACTGACGAACTCATATTTTTCAGAGGGGTTGAAACCACCAACCGGATTAGCTAATTATGAAAGTTAAGATTAGTAACAAGTGATTTGTGTAATTTCACCAATCATTACTAGTTAATTATTATTAGTTCATTGTGAAAGTTAAGTAACTAATGAATTGTGTAATACATCACTAAAATTCTTACTGGTGAAGTAATACTTGCTGGATTGATATAATCCGGGAAAACTTCACTGATTATGAGGTGAAAATAGATGAACATCGTGATTCCAATTCAGTTGCAAGTGGATCTGTTCCATGCATCAACTGGTCTTCAGGACTGGTGAAGTTAGTGGGATATAGAACGACCAATAAGCCAACTTAGTAACTTTAAATGTTTCTAAATGGTTTTATGGTGGATATATAACTTATATAGTAACATCTAGGAACTCCATAGTTCTATCCACATATATCTACCTTAGTAGCTGGAAATATAGTGGGAGAATCAGGGGATACTGAGATTATAACGGGAGAGTTCAACCATGTTAGAACCATAGTTTGACTGAAAGTAATCTATGGCAATATTACAATGGGGTGCCCCCTAGTTATGTTTGCTGGCTTATCGGCTTGCAAGCCATTGTCAACTATAGATAGTCTATATATGTATATATATATATAGAATAAGCTACACACCAACTTAGCTAATTATTTGGGCACCACATTGTAGCTGAAATCGTAAAATTAGGATTGAAGCCGTTGAAGCCGCCATTTTTGTTATCAGGAGCTCTGGGAATGACAGGCAGCAAGTGGCTCCAATTCTCAGATCCCACCTGGGATGATGAACCCCAACAGTCACAAAACTCTCAGGGCTTTGAAAACCAACCAGACAGATCAGATAGATCAGATAGGACACATGTGAAAGGTTTATTTGCGTGGAACATGTTTTTGTGCGGCTTCCGGCTGAAGAAAACGTGCCAGGACTGCCAAGACGGAACCCTTTTATGAAGAAATCAACAAGCGACCTGGCTTCAGAAATGGGTTTCCCTGGCTGCAGGTAGGGCCTGGTAGGGTGTTTGAAACTGTTTGAAGCAAACCTGTTAGAGGACCTGAAATTTCTCAGCCTGATCGGTGGGTGATGACCTTCAATACCAAGTATCTGATGGGCCTTCATCATCCTGATGCTGATCAAGCGGTGATAGGTGCAGAATGGTAGGGGATGGGAAAGGGTGCTGGCTGGTAAGCCAATTTTGCGAAAAAATCCTCGTTCTGTGTAAAACTCATCCAGTTACCATTTAAAGGGGCAGTAGGTCCTCCTTTTCATCACTGAGTCACTGAGTGGCGGTTCCAGATAGTCTCGATGTTTCATCACAGCACATGGATAATGATTGTGTCAACCGCGCCTCTGATCACCTTTGTAGCACGTGGATCAAATGATGCACCATGTATGTAATGCAATATATACAGATCATATATATATATATATACACAGACAGTATATATATATATTTATATATCTAATATATACCCCTAACATCCCCTGACATCATTCAGTTGCTCAGGTAAATCATGGTAAATATATCGGCACCACGGTTCACATCTTGTGATTGTTATGATGGACTAGGACAGTCCTTACAGCAATTCACCATTTCCAAAACGGTTTCAGACGGTTTGTCGCGCATTACCCTGGCCTGTCGACTCAACATTGATATAGATTTGTGTTGAATGGAACTACCATTAATTATTTTGCAAAACAAATGCAATCAAAGATCATTTGAGTGCTTCCAGAACCATCTGGAATGCATTTTGGGACAAATTTCTCTAGATTGGCGTCAAAGCAATACTTTTAATTCGCCCGGCCGAGGAGCGAATTGGCGTTCCATTGGAAGTCCTTTGCGTTGCAACATGCTTGTCACTTGGCTGATCCCCCTGATCATATGAAATACGCGTACAAATTTAGGAACCCCGAAATCAATAGATCCAATACTTTATATTCAATAAATACCAATAAGATTCAATAAGTATATGCAAACTGCCCACAAAACCAGGAATTCTAGGCTGAGACCGAATACAAAAAGAAAGGGATTAGATGGGATTAGTGTGGTTGAATGAACCATGTCGTTGAAACATGCTATCACTTTCATTGCTGATTGACATGTTTGGGTCGCTTTCGCAGGGAGGAAAAAAATGGTTACAACCGGCTTGCCTCGAGAAGCTATTGTATTTGTTGAAATTAGGTAATGTTGGACAAGTTAGATATAGATTTACTGATATACATTTATTTTATATTTAAATTTGTACATGTTTCGAATGAAACGAACAGGCATTGGACATGATTGAACATGTTCTTTCCAAACCCCGGGTTCGCCCACACTCAAACAACACATCCAAACAGTATGATATCCTTATCACCACAAAATAATTGAAAACACTGGCTATACGCAGTGATTTTGACTTTCAGTTTTCTGGATTTAGGGTTTTAATTTAGGGTTTTAAGTCTTAGGGTTTTAGGGTTTGTTGTTTTGGAAAGTACTGTAAAAAACTTAAACCCTACGCAGGGATTAGCATGTCAAAGGATATGCGGGATTCGCCGCGGGCAAGCCTAGGGTTTGCAGCGAACATCTTCAATTGTTGGTTAGAGAAATCCGATCTTTTGTGAGTTTATCCACCTCCGGTTTTGTGACGTGTCTTGATAATCAGGTTCCATCCCAGAACCGGGTTCCATTTTTTCACTACAACGTTGAGATGTGAAGTTTGGACCTAATTCTCCTCCTTGTATGTAGAACTGGAATCGCAAACCATCGCCAGAGAGGCATGTGTGTGTTTTGTTTTTCCACATATGACATTCATTTCAGTCCCAGAGCAAATTCTAATCTCAAGTGACTCAGAGTGACTCAAGTTGTAGAACTTTTTGCTAAGGCTTTACCACCATATGGAAGGTCATGAAGCAAAAAATCAATCACCGGACCTTGATCGGACCCTTGTTTTGGATAGTTGGCCCTGCATTTTTCGGTCGCAACCTCAACTGGAATAGTACCCTCTGGTAATTTAACATAACTATGGAAAATCACCATTTTTAATGGGAAAATCCACTATAAATGGCCATTTTCAATAGCTATGTTAAATTACCAGAGGGTAATTTGTGTAGTGGCGCTTCTTTCTTTTTCCCGTGGAGGATTGACACCTCCAGTTGGTAAAATGTTGCTGACTGCCAAGGTGCATTTAGAGGTTGTCCCATAGACTTCAGGCAAACCAGTTCACCATCACCTTTTCTGTCTGAAATTGCAATGATTATCCCCAATAAACATCCTAAGTTTGGTAGTATAACCATGTATAACTTTATAACCCGCTGTAAATATGCCCAACTTATGTTTTTTGAATTTACACGCTGAAGTGAATTATGGGTATAGTAACTCCCAAAAAGGCAGCAGGATGGTAGTTGGAGGATGCATTCCCCCATACTTTCCAGGTTTCAATTTGTTCCATCTATGTATTTTTTGGCGTTGTACTTCAACATATTTCTATATAAGTCCATTTCGTTGTAATCGATCCCCTTTTCGTTTTAATCGATCCCTATGGATCTTGGAATTCTTGTGGTGGTTGGGGTTAGGTGCTCATGGATCCCGCAGGGTTTTCAAGGGTCAATGGCGGCCCGTCAAGCCTTCTTGAAGAGGCTGGGAAAAGATGAGGGTTTCCAAAAGGAAAATCCTTCAAAGGCTTCTCAGGGGATGCGGTCCCAGTTTTTCGCCTCGTTGTCTGAAACAGCCATGGAATCATCTGGTAGCGGCCCACCAAGAAAGGATGTGTCGTTCTCTTTGTCTGGGCTTTTGGAGTTCAAAGGGATAGGCCAGACCAGCTCCAGCTACAAGAAGATTCCAGAACCTGCACGAGCTAGACCCAACTATGGCAACTCCCGTCGGAAACTGTATGCTAATCCTGAGGTTCGAAAACGGTAACTTAGCTGTCATCAGCATGTTTCCTCCATACTCCACTGTTTCCCTTTTGCTTTCCAGGTGTAGAGCGCAATCGTGTATTTTTGTGAGACTTTCAGCAAACCAGGCATGCTGACAATGGGGTCTCCGATGACAGGATCAAGAGGGTCTTGGGTGGCAACTGCCAATGCCATCAAGGAACATGTTTCAGTAAGTTCTCTGATATGCAGAAGGATCTGTGCACCTACTTGGGAACGTTTTGGACTCTGGAAAAGCCAGCTCAAGATGCATATGCCAGGGACCCATTTGTTTCAACATATTTCAACAGCTTGCTAACATTTCCATTTTCGAGAATAGGAATTAAAGGTAACTGTTTTCAGCCCAAAACCTTTGGCACCCTACTGTCGCCAGCTGAGGTCTACGGAGTTCTGTCTGGGACCATGCCAGGCAACCGATCGTGGACTTTCCTTGGGAAGAGGATTAGCCCAAAGTGTTTGGCAACCCTTTTAGGCATTCGGCCTCAAAGGTTTCAGCGTTGTGCGTCTGGAAGACTTGATCAACGGTACCGGTGCTTTGGAAGTGACACCTGGGTTAATTTGAACTACCTTCTTTTACCACCTGGTTATTGTGAGATACAACATGTTTTGTTCAACCAAAATGAAATGGTTTCCGTCAGTTAAAACAAGAATAATGAGAAAAAATATCTGTTTTACAGTGTTACTATATTGCCTGGGGATGGGGATGGGTTTAAATAAGAATAATCCAATATCCAACAACAGTTAGTCTTTACTTTGGTGATCCTCCACCTACACCCTTGAGCCAATACTGAGGGCAAAAAACGTGCCCCGTTGAAGTATTGGCGTTTGGATCAATATTTCATGAGCCTCTACATCAAGCAAGGTGGTATGTTGCCAACCAGGCTCCTTATCCAGGTTAAGACAACTGTGCAAGACGCAAAAAGGTCACCTCAATTTCGTCCATTTGTTTCGATCACTCCATACCTGAGGTTTCATCGTTGTGCTCGTCTCAGAGAAGCTAACAAGGCTGCAGGCAGCACACCGGAGAAGCTGAAGGTGACTTTCCAAACTGGATTAGGTCACAGAGATGAGGAAGGACCCTAGCTGATACAGGAATTCAATTCATCCTAAAAATATCATTTCATTTCTTTTAAACAAATATAATACATATATTTTTATATAATATATATATATATATCCATTGAACATACCGCAGGAGAGACTGATTCAGATGGGGCAGAAGTGGATGAAGAGGTAATCGAGGGCGATTTGGAGCTGAAACTGCACATTATGGGTTCCAAACAGCTTTTCACTGAGACCTATCCTCAGTTTCTAAGGCTGATGTTTTCTTTTTTCCGATGTGGCATCCCATTGTTTGATAATTTGGGCCACTGATGTCCCAAGGATTGTCGAATCCACGTGGTCAAGTGAGCCCTCACAGCTACCCACACGATACTTGCCCCCTGGTAGTTTGAAGCTCCTTCATGCACAGTTTCCAGGGCAGGTGTCGTGCCTGGACCTTCTGTGGCGTTGGGTTTAGGGAGGTGCGTTCGTTGGGTATTTATATGATTCGTCCCCATGTGAAAATGTTTTGGGGTGAAAAATCTCAGGTACGCGCACTTTCACAGAAGATATGTGCGCAAGTGGAAGAACTTGATCCGGTTTGCATGCCCAACAAACTTTCCAGCCTGTGACGACTGCGTTTGCTACAAGGAAGCCTTCAACTTTGCAAGTGAAACTAGGTGTGAAGTCAACCTGTTTACTTGGAAACAGTATGTGTGTTTTGTTTTCTATGGAACCCCATATTGTGGAATTATTGCTTTGCTTCCAGCCCAGGATGCTTTGGACAAGTATGAGTTGGCCCGGTCCTACAAATCTCATCTCGATGCTGTTGCTTCTGATCGTGAATTGGAATCACACCTCCAGGCTAGCTGATTGACAAATTGGTTGTAGGTGTGCCCAGATCAACCACCACTATCTGACTGTGTTTTTATTCTTGGGAAGGCCTCTAATCCATTGTGTGATGGGGACGCCCTGCTGCTGGTGTCGACAGAACCCTTGCAGCATTTGGTTTGGTTTCGTTTTCCCTGCTTCACGAAGTCATTGATTTGTGTAAGCCATTGACCCTAGGATGGAATGGACCAATCGAAATGGTCCATACCAAGATCGCAGACTTTAACGAAAAGCCTTGCAAAGCACGACCGTCCCAGGACCAAGTTACAAGGACTATGGATGCATAATGTGGCCCTTTGCATGTACTGCATCGACGTCAGGCAAGCAACTGACGCATCAATGGTTGTGGAGGCTCTGGCACGAGGTTTGGAGAAAATGTGGGAGATCTGCAGAGGGCATGGGAAACCAGGCCCAAAGCGGATCCTAGTTTGGGAATCTTGGTTTTCATATGAATGTTTGTTTATTTTCGTTCGTCAATTATATCATGATGTTAAATAGACAGAAGTTTCGGTTCAATGGGTTTTGACCCAGTGAGGCCGACAATACTGTTCGCGAAGCCAAAAATAATACCTTATTCAAATTCTTGGCATATCTTCAACTTCAAAAAGGACTGGATCTCACTGGCGCACTCATGAGCAGAGTTGGACACACACATTCCAGTTTAGGTATCCAGGAAGAATTAACAACATTGTTGCTCAATTGTTTTTCCTCCTTGTTTACATCTGGTTTGTTGTTCCTTTGGCAAACTACATGATGCGTTTAGACCACATGTGGCACTGAGATCAAATATTTGGATTACTTGCTCGGAGCATGAGATCTATGCATATTTTGGCAGATGACCGAGATGCGGTTGAGAAACTTGGTTTTCTGCAAGTGTTCATTTTAATTCAGACATTCTTCCTTCACAGGTCGGGGTGAGGGTGAAAGGTCACGGTGACCTTACGAAGTCCATCTGAGCCCCAGCCAGCCCAGGAAAACTCAATTCCTGTTGGATAAATTGGATCTCAGA